ATAGGGATGATCCAGACCGTAGATTCCACCTCAGAAAAACCCGAGGTATTCCTCCGGGCCTATCCTATAACCTGGAAAAGCGTAGAGTGTGACTGTGCGGTCTGGGGAAACCCCTCGGCCGCCATCCTAGACTCGGGATCATCGGCGGTCGCCATTTCTTGGAGATTGACGAAACAGTTGGGAAGGGAAGGACAGGTTCAGCCCCTCCGGCCGGATGAACTGTATATATCCGCTACGGAAGATAGTATTCATTGTAAAAGGCGAATAACGAACGTGCCTATACGGGTGGGGCGGGTGCATTGTTTGTGTGACGTGATCTTGCTGGATGTACAGGCGTATGATGTTCTGCTAGGCATTCCGTGGCAGGCGGCGGTCGGAGCGCGAATGCACTTTGACAGTTGTAAGGTGGTGCTCACATCGGCCCACCCCAAACCCCAAACGATACCAATGGGACTGGCGGTGCGCATGCGCACCCAGCCGGCGCCTCGCCTCACCACGGAAGCCCATCAAATCAACATGATCCGACGTCTGTCACCAAACGAAAATGAGCCCTCGACGGAAACTGACAAGACTGATGTACCCGACCGATATCCGATCCGAGTTCATGATCGGTGGCGCCATTCTTGGCGGCGAGAACCACCGGAAATAGTTCGGAGCGAGTCCAATTGGTCGCACGCGTTCTCCTCCGTGGTGCAGGGGTAACCCCTGCTGAGGGTGTCCCGAATAGCTGACCTTTCGGAACCCCCGGCGTCCTTGTATCTCAGGACGGACCCCCTACCTGAAAGATTTACCGAGCTCAGGGGGCTGTGCGATTTATCTTTTCGACCTCCATGGCCCCTACTCACGAATGAAAAAGCCGCGATACTCCTGAAAGAGAGGGTGTCGTTTCAACCCCGAACGAGGGAGTATCGGTGGGGACCGAGGGAACTGGCGCAGGCCTTTTCGGTCGAACCCTCGGTCGAACCCGAACTGGACAGTGACAGTGACATGGAAAGCGAGCCGATGAGTCCGGCGGACAGCCAACTTATTGCGACGGTCCTTTCGGTGAAAACCGACAACTCTTTGTTTGGGGCCTCGCCTGATGCCAACGCGGCGGTCCCCACGGTTACGACGACGGTCTCCTTTCCTGGGGGAATCGTAGAAGTTCAGTTACCAGCCCGTGTTCCGGACGAATACAAACGCCTCCTCTTGGCAGTTATACGGGCATATCCTGAGGCCGTCAGTATTCAGGACCATGACATAGGGCTAACCCCTTTGATACAACACGCGATTGACACCGGGGATCACGCCCCGATACATTGCCGACCGTACCGATATTCCCTTAAAGAAAGGCAGGTGGCGTTGGAAAGGGTACGGGAATTCAAGCGGTTGGGGTGGGTCGAACCATCGCTGGGACCACGGTCTTTTCCCGTGGTCCTCGTGCCAAGACGAAATGGCTCGGTTCGGGTATGTATCGACTACCGAAAATTGAACACCATCACTACCAAAGATGTGTATCCCTTGCCGCGAATCGATGATTTGTTAGATACTATCGGGGCCGCTCGAGTCTTTTCCAAGTTCGATATCCGACACGGTTTTCACCACGTCGCAGTCCGACCGGAGGACCGACCCAAAAC